ATACACTCACACACACACTCACATACATATACATACACTCACACACATATACATACACTCACATAAATATACATACACTCACACACACTCACATACATATACATACACTCACACACACATACTCACATACATATACATACACTCACACACATACTCACACACATATACATACACTCACACACACATACTCATATACATATATACATACACACTCACACATACACTCACATACACACACACACAGAGTCATACACAAGCACACAAAAGCTGGGCATGTAGTTTGGTGGTAGAGCACTTGCTTAGCATGTACTGTTCCCACCATCTACATACAATCACCATGAAAGTAACACGTGTTGTTATGGTGTTCTCACATGCACTTTGCTTTTGTTGATCCTCCCCCATACTCCTCTCTTCCATCTGCTTTTGAAATTAAATTCCTATCATAATGTTATTTTTTAATGTTTAGTAATTCTCCCCCTGCCCTTTTAAAAATTATCACTATGTAGCCTAGGATTGGCATCAAATTCAAGATCCTTCTGCGTTGGTCTCTAGAATGCTGGGATTGTAAGTGTGTACCACCATGTCACCATAGTTTCAAAGAATAGCCCCATTCCTTTAAAGCTAATCTGTCTGATATGAGTACAGCTATCCCATGTGTTTGGTTAGTGTTCATCTTGCCCAGGGGCAGCACTACCGTGATGTGGGCCAGGCTCTCCCACGTCAATCATCAGCCAAGACAATGTCCCCCTGACAATGGGTACAGGCCAATCTGATGGAGGCAATTCTTCACTTGAGGACTCCTCTTCTCAGGTGTGTTGGAGTTGACAACCAAGATTACTTACCGCAAAGACTGTCCCCTAAGATGCTTCATAAAAAAAGTTATGTGTATCTATAGAGGAGAGAAATGAGAATGAAATAATGAGTAAAATATTAACAACTGAACTAGGGCAAAGAGGGTGTGGTATTTCTTGGTTTTGCAACTTTTTTTCATTTTTTTCTATTAGAAAATTAAAAACAAAACTGCCTTTAAAAATTGATAAAGAAGCTGGGTGGTGGTGGCACACGCCTTTAATCCCAGCACTTGGGAGGCAGAGGCAGGTGGATCTCTGTGAGTTCGAGGCCAGTCTGATCTACAAAAGCTAGTTCCAGGACAGGCTTCAAAGCCACAGAGAAACCTTGTCTCAGAAAAACAACAACAACAACAAAATTGTTAAAGGAAGTCTGAGAAGTGGGAGGAAATTGTGAATTTGTTATGCTGTTCAACCTTAGAGTCTGGAGATCTTCCTGTCAGTGCGTATGAGCCAGTTTCTGTAGCTGGCCTCCTCTGGCAGTATTGCCTAGAGAGAATGTGGCTGAGAGGGGAGCCACGGTCTTCAAAGGAATCCATTCAGTTTAGCATAGTACCTGGGCATCTTCTAGAGGGTTTAGCTGTAACACCTAGAAGACACAGGTTTTACAGATGGAAAGACAAGAGTGCATTGGGTTTTACTGCCGCTGTGTGCCCCCTCTGCAGAATGAGCGTTCTAACCTGCCAGCGCCTTCCTGGTGTATGTCTTTTCAGGGGACACCCTCGGAAGCCATGCCCCCTGCAGTCATTGCAGAGTTCATTCCTCCCCCACCCCCACCAGGCACTGCATTGCTTGCTTTTCTGTTGCTGTGAGAAAACACCACAACCAAAAGGGACTTCTAGGAGAAAGAGTTCATTTTGGCTTATGGTTCCTGAGGAGTAGAGCCCATCATGGTGGGAAATCATGGCCTGACAGTAGGAACAGGAAGCTTGCTGATGGCAGTTTCAACCCCACACAGAAAACAGAGAAAGCAGGAGGTGGGGTGAGGCTATACACCCCCCCCCCCAAGTCACCCCCAGGGATGTGCGTCTTCTATCAAGACTCTACCTCCTAAAGGCTTCATAAACACCCCACTAACCGGCGACCACATGTTCAAATGCACGAGTCTGTGAGGGGCATTTCCTGTGGGAGCCACACCATCTGCCCACGACTAATGCGACAGTTTGCTGCCATAGCTCCAGAACCTCTGGAAAGCGGTGGGGAAGGTGGCGGTCCCCAGCAGGCTGCACCAGTGACTCTTCCTTCTTCTGGTGTCTTTCCCTCCACTGCTGTCTCACTCCCAACTGTTTCCCGGGATCCCAGAAACAGCCCGTGCACCACCTTCGGCCTCTGGCAGAATGGTGGGAAATTGGGAGAGAAAAATGTACTTGGGTTTCTTCTTCGTGGGAGAATTTGGCTCAGATCAAGGCTAGAAGAAAATCTAAAACTCAAACAGGGAGGATGCTGATTGGTAATTCACTGAAATCCCACAGTCCGGAGCGGCAGAGTAAAGCAGGTCAAGTTTATAGACGTCAGTTAAGGACGCACGCGCCTCCTGCTTCTGCAGCGCGAGTCCTCCCTCACCCGGCTCCTTACTTCGCTCTCTCCCGCTCTTCCCTCGTCTCTCTGCTCATCGTGTGGCTGTGCTCCCTTTGCTTTGCCATCTCCTGGTCCCTTTGTCTCTTCCCGTCTCCTCTCCAGCATCACCCCGTCCTTCCGGTCCTCTCATCTCCTTTCCCCCACTGTTAGTAAACGAAGTTGGGGGCCAGTCTAGCTCGTTGGACTCAAGCCCTGTTACCCGTGTCATATTTCACATTTGGGAGGGAAATCAGGGTTAGATCGTGTCCCTCCTGAGGGCTTTGCTAGGTGGTGGGTGGTGCCGATCTCTGATAGTCATTCACAAATGGAGAAGAGTTGATGATGGGAGGGTCGGCAGAAGGTATGAGGAGAGTTGTGTGTGTGTGTGTGTGTGTGTGTGTGTGAGATGTAGCCGAGGCTGGCTTCAAGCTCATTGTGTAGCCAAGGATGGCCTAGAACTCTCGCTCCCCTTGCCTCTTCCTTCCAAATACTGGGGTTACAGGTGTGTGCGATCACACTAAACTGCTCAGCCTCCTTTTGTGGTTACAGAAGCACAGAGCTGGTTGGCAGGACTGACACCGAGTAAGTGGCCCCTCTGCTCCGTCTCCTCCCTCCAGTCTGCTTTTTTACTGGCTCGGGTGAAGGCATTCATTGGGAGGAGTGGGCAAGCAGGCCTGGGGGCTGTCTAGAGACGCCTCAGAATCCTTCCGCCTCTTCTCAGAGTGGCACGGAGCAAAAGTCAACCGTTTGGAGGACTCTTCTCGCCACTCTTTAAAACCACGTCACTACGTACGCACAACCACATTTCAAGACCAGTTTATTACCAAAACGCACAAAGGAGACTGGCATTTAAATAAGTTATACAAATATCTCAAGAGGTAAGGTTCGCAGCCCTCCCGGGATCCTGTCACAGGTCAGTGTCTGTAAGAACATCCGCAGCTGTTGAAAAATCTGGGGTCTTCTGTCCCCTCGTCCCCTCCCTTCCTGCCTCAGTCCTGTCCAGAGCCGCAGTCTGTGTGATGCTCACATCCTTCCCCAAGAGCTGTAGCTGTGGAATTCTCTTCAGCACCTTTTTGGTGCCCCTGCCCCCTGTGTTTCTAATTACACCTTTGCCTTGTGGTCTGTGAGAGAACATAGCATGCGGCAGATCCTTGCTCGGCTCCCAAACAAGCCCAATCCCCAGGCCATCGTGAATCAGTAACCCCTCTCAGTCCCGGGCCTGACCTGCAGGTTAATGGGATCGAGACACTCGGTCCAAAGGGGACTTATAAAATGTCCTGGGGCTCTGTGACCTTCCAATACTTCTTGGACTTTGGAGGAGGCGGAGTAGGGGAGGGTAAACTGTCATTGGCTGGGGTTCTCTTCCTGCTGGAATTTGGCACTTTGAGTGCTGGGTACAGTGAATCCCAGATAACGTTGTCTTTCAGCCTTCCAAGTTCTGGGCTCCATTGGCAGCCAGATGGCATAATGGATTCACGGAGAAGCAACAGCTGCGGCCAAGAATGTGCTGGCTGTTTGCCAGGGCCCTGTGCTTTAACTACGGAGGAGACTCGCTCGCTCACTAGCTTACTTAACACATGGACACATAACAAAGGTCAGGCTCAAGTTAGTAAGTGGGATGCTTTCCTAGGTTGGGCCGGCCCAGCCTGAACCCAGCCTGTTGGCACAGGGGTCATTACTGAAGGATCTTGGAGAATAATGAGGAGAGGCCAGATTTTCGGTGTACTTGTAAAAATGGTAGTTTTATAAGATCGTGTGTGTGTGTGTGTGTGTGTGTGTGTGTGTGTGTGTGTGTAAGAAAGAGAGAGAGAGAGAGAGAGAGAGAGAGAGAGAGAGAGAGAGAGAGAGAACCTATTTATTTTCAAGTCAGTGGTGGATGTCTCTAGTTACCTCCCTGTTTTCCTGAGGATTTAATTTCTTTCCTGGGGTAAAAAGGTCCTGAGATGGCTAAGAGCTCCCTGTAGAGGGAGATCCAGTCTAAACTGGTCCTTCACATCTGTACCCAGTTGGATGCTGCAGCTAGAACCTTAGGACTCCCTCATCGGTGTCAGGGCCTCCCCCCCACCACTCCGGGCTACAGGCTGATGAGGAAGAGTTCAAACGCCTGGCTCTTTCCAAATGAACTTGGCCATGACAGATTTTCCAAGGAGGGGCAACACGGGCTCCGAGGTCAGGTGGACTGTCAGGTCCAGGAACCACCAGTTTGCCCCGAGTCTGCAGTAGCACCCCCTCTCCATGTCGCTAGTACAAAGAGGGATTCTGAAAGATTTTGTGCAGAATGGCTGCCGCCGTATCGCTGGAGGATTCTGCTGATCACCTGTTCCCCAGAATGGGGCAGCATTCAGGCGGGGATGATTCAAGAGGCCAAGTCTGCCCCTCGGTGGGTTGTCCCTGGAGAGGTAGCGCTGACAGTCTTGCGGGTCCTGCCCACTGCCCACACTGGGGCTGAAGTGCTGGACAGCAATGAAGGCCTCAGCGGTCTTAGGACACTGAGAGAAGCGGGCACAGAGACAGAGACGCCTGGATTGGGGACAGTACTGTGTCTTTGAAGCACAAAGCTGACAACTATAAGGCAGTCGGAGGGACAAGCTTCAACACTCTAACCCAGTGCATCCCTGAATCCCAACGACAGCCTGAAACCTCCAAGGCCTCAACCACCCAGGCCACAGACCCGTTTGAACTGCACTCCAGCTCAGCACAGCTGCCCTTATCTTTCTGTGCTTGGCTTGCTCTTAAGACCGGAAGGCAAGGTGTCCATCAGCTGCCATGGTGGGGCATGGGTAGATGGGCAGAATAAGCTCACTGCCCGGCTGGGCTTGAATGAGAAGGGAGGAGATGGGGTGGGTTCACCAGACTCTCGCGCTTGCCAACCCTTGTCAGGACAGGTTCTTCTGGCTGCAGAGGCCGAGGCGACTCTCCCCCAGGGAGATGGGGAGGGAGGAAAAGTCAGGAGAGAGGACAGGAGTTGAGAGAGGATCGAGAGCCTTGGCGGATGGACATACTCTTCTTTCTGTCCCTCCCTGTGGTCCTGGGCTTATCGTCCGTGGAAATCCCAGGTGCCACACGCTCAGGAGGCAGTATGGGAACCAAACGGGCCCTCACAGTGCAGTCAGGGTCTCTGTGTGAAACATGCTCCCGAACATCTCCTGCAGAGACCACAGGGAGGAAGGGTGAGAGCGAGGGAGTGACAGACCTGCTGGAATCAGACAGGCTGCCACCGAGAGGCCAGAATAAAGCACACCGAGCGAGACGGTATATGCAGCTAAGCAGAGGAAGGGCAGGCTAGCATAAAGTGTGAACTGGTACTGGGCGATGGAGCAGAG